GCAGGTTTCTGGGGTTTTGTTTAGCTTCTATATTTGCAACATAGTTGCTTAGAGTTGCAGCTGAGAGGCCGGCAAGTCAGGCGGGGAACGTTGGAGTTCGCCATCACTGGAGCAAGTAAGCCTCCCTGTTCCCTTCAGTGCATGGCTGCCGGCCACCATCTTGGCTGACAGTTAATTTGCATAAGGATTTGCTGATTAGCCAATGGGAAGGGTAGCGGTTGTACGCTAATTACCATGTTTCTCTTTTATTAGTGTAGATTACTTTGCCCTATCTACAGTTCTAACTTCATTACAAATTTTCTCCCTTGCTCACTCCATCCCATTTTCTCTTTCTTAATCTTACCTACTTATTCTAATCTTTGAACTTGCTGTTTCCTCTGCTTGAAATGCTCTTCACCTAGTTAACTCCATAGCATCCTCCTTTACATAACTGAGCTAAAATGACCGCCTTAAAGCAAACTTGCTTAGTTAACACTCTTCACATCTGAGCTTAGATATTATTTTTATTGAGAGGCCCTGACATCCCAAATCTGGTGCCCTTGTTAAGTACAGCCCATTCTACTATACTGCTTGTTTTGAAAACACAAATTGTTCCAATGTGACTGATATATTAGAAAATACTAGGTGAATGAACAAAACTGTACCAGGTGAACCAAGCTGCATAGGAATCCACAAAACACACACATACCTCCCCCAAACATCTTCACAATGACCTCAGATCACCATATGTTCTGAGTCCCACCATCTTCGTCTGCTGTTAACAACTTCCTGTCTGAATTTAGATAATCCTCTTTCCACCACTTCCTGAAGTTTTTGAGTATGTGCTCTAACCACATTTTCCCATAAGCTCTGTGGTTTTTATTACATGACTAGAGGTCTGGTGCAGGAAATTCATGCACTCGCATGGGGGGGCGTCCCTCAGCCCGGCCTGTGTCCTCTCACAGTCCAGGAGCCCTTGGGGGATGTCTGACTGACAGCTTAGGCTCACTCCCTAAGCTGGCAGTCGGACATCCTTAGCGCTGCCACGGAGGCACGAGAGGCTCCAGCCACCGCCGCTGTGCTAACCAGCTGTGAGCCTGGCTTCTGGCTGAGCAGCGCTCCCCCTGTGGGAGCCCACTGACCACCAGGGGGCAGCTCCTGCACTGAGCATCTGCCCCCTGGTGGTCAGTGTGCATCACAGCGACCGGTCTTTCTACCATTTGGTTGATTTGCATATTAGCCTTTTATTATATAGGATGTTTCATAGCACAGTGAATTTGAGGAACACACATGTTATATTACAACAAAACTCACTATAATTTCACCATACCCAACATTTAGTACCATAATACTTAATAAAATACTATGTATTACCAATGTTAGATTACTTGTTTCTTCTCCTAGATCAGTGCTATTCAAAACAACTTTGTGATGAAGGGAATATTCTTTTTGTGATGTCCAAAATGGAAGCCACTATGCACAAGTGGCTCTTGAGAATTTGAAGTGGATAATGCAACTGAGAAAATGAATTTTTAACTTGAATTAAATTTAAACAGCTATATGCAACTAGGGGCTACATATTAGACAGGGCAATTATAAATCTGTACTCCAAAAATCAAGCCCAGCTTTTATTTTCTCACATTTCATTTTCTAAAGTAGCTGGTTGAAGGCAAACAGAAATGGGAAAAATATTGTAAAGACTGGATGTATGTATAATGTTCTATTAAAATATATTTCTATAACAATAGCTACCATTTATACACTTGCTCTGTGCTAAGCACTGAGATAAGAATTTTAATACTACCATTATTCTCTCATTCAATCCTCATAACAACATTATCAAGTGACTATTGCTAAACACACTTTACATGTAAGGAAATGAGGGCTCACAAAGTTTAATGATTCCCATAGCATGCCCTCTCACATCTGCTATTACAGTGATTCCTCTGCCTCTAATCTTGCCCCTGATACAGTGAATCATTTTACATATCAATATTAGAGTGTTCTTTCAAATAAATAACATTTCTGATCATTCTCCTCCATCCCTCCCAGGCACACTCTTATATACCCTTAATTTCTTTTAGCCACCCAGTATAAGGTAGGGAGCCCAGAATCCTATATGCTATCATCCTATATAATAAAACCCTAATAAGCAAACTGACCAAATAGCAGAAAGACTGGCGGAATGACTGGTCGCTATGACGCTCTCCAACCACCCAGGGGCAGATGCTCAACGCAGGAGGCTGCAGGCCCCGACCAGCGTCGTCGATGGAGGGTAGGGCTGGTGAGTGGACAGTGCCAGGCCGCCAGCCAAGGCAGGTGCCAGTGGGGGCCCCTGATCGCCCCGCCGGTCACTCTGAATAGGGAGGTGACCGGTGGTGGTGGCTGTGGGCAGGCCGGTGAGCAGGAGGTGTCAGACCAGCTAAGGCATATGCCAGCGGACTTCCCTGCCCCCGATCACCCTGCCAGTCACCCCACAGATAGGCCATGATTGCCGGCCAGGCCTAGGGACCCTAACCGTGCACGAATTTCATGCATCAGGCCTCTAGTCTCTTCATAGCAGCCCTTTAGGGAGATCTTTGTAAAGCAATATAAAAATTACTGACCTACAGGGTTCTCATTATCAGACCCCTGCCCTTCCTAGTCTATCTCTTATGACTGCCTTCTCTCCTCCTTTGGGATTACCACTACAGTATGCTCTATCTTCAGTACCTGCCACTTCTTTGTCAAATAGCTACTCCTATTCACAAACCAGCCATAGATTCTTTTATTTAATCATCAAACAGTGCTACCAAGTGCCAGGCTCTACTCAGGTTGCTGAGGATATATTGGCAAGCAATGCTATTTTAGAGTGTCATGTCTTTTAGAAATGGTATTTTCATTAAGACTATTACAGACCCTCTGACTGTCTATAACCCAACTACTATTCCAATTCCCACCAACATTCCAATTTTTATATTTCATAAAATTATACTATATTTCAAAATGACTATTTTAATATTTTTACTTTTCAGAAACAAAATAAAACAAACTCAAACATACCCCTTCTTCAGACAAACAAGCAAGACGATCTATGAGTTCAGGGTTAGCAGTTAGGCTCTTTACATATTCTTCACCTGAAAAATAAGTTTTATAGTTCTTGATAAATTCAACTGTTTTTTGCTTATTTGTTTTTTCTTAGATATGGAAGAACATCAATCATCTTTTTTGGGGGGTGAGAGGGAAGTCCATATCTGTTGATGTGAACATGCCCACATCAGTGAGTGTATATAATGGGTCAAGCCTATCTATGAGCTTTTATTGCTAAGCCAATTCCAAACAGTGATGGGGAAATTAGCCCCTGGGCACCACAACACACTGAGCTTAGAAATGCAGAGAAATTTAAAAATGCAAAAATAGCCCTAACCGGTTTGGCTCAGTGGACAGAGCATCAGCCTTCGGACTGAAGGGTCCCAGGTTCAATTCCGGTCAAGGGCATGTGCCTTGGTTGCGGGCACATCCCCAGTGGGGGGTGTGCAGGAGGCAGCTGATCGATGTTTTTCTCTCATCGATGTTTCTGACTCTCTATCCCTCTCCCTTCCTCTCTGTAAAAAAATAAAAAATATATATATATTTTTTTAAAAATGCAAAAATATCACATGAGGTACTAAAAGACTATGAAAATATAATACAGCCAAGTGAATTTCTAACCATGGGCCTGATGATAACTTTTATATACATTTGAAACATGAATTAACAGTTTCTACATTTAGACTTACAAGTGAAAGCTGGTATTCCTTCTTCTATGGCTTTCTCTTTGTTTTTCCTGTCATTTGTTATTAAGATGACTTGCAGTTCATTCTCTGCTGACATTTTCTTCAAATGTTCATTGTACCATTTTGCTGCTACTCTAATGGCTCTATCATTCCTGTCATTAGCATTTTCTCCCTGTTTTTGTTCTATGTAAGTTTCTCTAAATGTAAAGGAAAGAAAAATTATTTTATAAAAGAAATGAAAATCAATAAAAATAAGCATATGTAAAAAATATTAGGATATAAATGCTTAATAAGCACTAAACTTAAAATTCAAGGGTATATCTTTTTCTCTTGAATGTAATTCAGATTTATAACTCAGAGAGGAAATAAATAGGATCCTTATAGTTAAGTTTCTAAGACAACAATTTGCTTAGAAAAAGAAAATCATGTTATTAATGGAATGATTAAAAGGCTAATTTTATTTCACCAGAAGGAAAATCAAGATCAGAATTTATACTCAGGTTAGAACATCAAATAAGTAATGGTTTGTTGGAAAAAACTATAATAAAACTTTGCAGGTCTGATAGTGAGATTTCATTTGAACTGTAGGTTAATAGTAATTCCTAAAAGCTATAAAATAGTACAATTACATAATTTATTATCATATCATTCTATAAATATATAATGAATGTAAATTATCCATGATAAACACACTATTAATGCCAGAGGCTATCTAGAGAATAAAAGACCAGATACAGATATGACTCCATATTTTCTTTCTAAGACTATTTACTCTGAACTCCCAAATATGTCAGCATATTCATCTTTTACTTGAATCTATTTTACAAGCCAAATTTAAGTACAATATCAAAACTCAGTACAGTAACTTCTAGTGCTTAAAAATAATAGATTCAATTTAAAAATTTTAGACTTATTTATAATAGTTTTTAGAATTATTTTATTCACCATTTACACCTCCTAATGCTTTAAGTGTAACAATCAAAGACACTGTCGTAAATTCTTGAATTGGTTTTAGCATGACTTGAGGAAAAGAATCTTAGATGATATTTACCTAAGTGTCCTAAGATCTAAGATTTTTCCTGTTAACCCCAGTATTGTTAAACTCTATTCACTGCACTTAAGTTAAGAAAATAACCTCTGATTAGGGATCTGATCTGATGATCATGCTCCACAGAAACTTGGTCTTTCTCCACTGAAAAACAAGTAACATTTCTACTTCTAGATTTCAAGCTAGGACTAAGATGGCTACAAGTGTTTTACTGATGTTCTTTTTAAAGAAAGTTTGGCTTTTTAAAATATGGTTTTTTTAAATTGATTTCAGAGAGAGGATGGGAGAGGGAGAAAGGGACAGAAACATCAATAATGAAAAAGATCATTGATCGGCTGCCTCCTGCACGCCCCCTATTGGGGATTGGGCCTGCAACCTGGACTTGTGCAACCTGGACTTGTGCCCTGACGGGGAACTGAACGATGACCTCCAGATTCATGAGTCTAAGCTCAACCACTGAACATTGGCTGGGCAGATGTTCTTTACAAGAACAATTTTTTTTTTTTAAGCTTGGGATATAAGAATAAAGAAAAAAATTGAGAAACTAACTTTTTAATTTGCATATTCCAATGGGATTTCATTACCAAATCTACCAGCTAATCCAGTGGTCTAAATGGGGGTGATTTTGCCCCCTGTGAACGTTTGACAATGTCTGGAAACATCTGGGTTGTTACAACTCTGTGGATGAGGGGGAAGGTTGCTACTGGCTTCTAATGGGTAGAGGCCAGGGATGCTGCTAAACATCCTATAACACAGGAAGACAGCCCACCCACAGCAAAGAATTATCCAGCTCAAAATGCCAGCCGTGCCAAGGTTCAGAAGCCCTAATCTAACCTAATAAAAGCATACTAAAATGCATCACAGATTTATGTAACATACATCGTGACATCTATTTTCGAAGATCACATGTTATGTTTAAACACAGGTCATGAATTCGAAACATAACAAAGAATTCTATACTTGAACCATATCTTCTTCAATGTGATCAGTTATAAGGTATTAGTTTAACTTGTAAAAGCCCATGAAGAATAAAGCTGCTTTATATTTAAAACCTCCTTCACAAACTTACACTTTTTTAACCTATGCTGTCTATTCATATAACATGGTATTCCAGGAACCTAGGCAAATTTTATCTGCCCTGATTCTATTGCTGGACTCATACTAAAATCAATTCAAAATGAAAACATTTTAGAAATAAAAGTACCTACTATAGCAGTGATGGCGAACCTTTTGAGCTCGGCGTGTCAGCATTTTGAAAAACCCTAATTTAACTCTGGTGCCGTGTCACATATAGAAATTTTTTGATATTTGCAACCATAGTAAAACAAAGACTTATATTTTTGATATTTATTTTATATATTTAAATGCCATTTAACAAAGAAAAATCAACCAAAAAAATGAGTTCGCGTGTCACCTCTGACACGCGTGTCATAGGTTCGCCATCACTGTACTATAGCATAGGAGTAGGAGACCCTGGTTCTGGGTTTGATGCAATCAGTGCCTAGGGGACCTTAATTAGGTCTACTTAGCAATACCTTCTGTACAGCTGTGAGAACCAAATAAAATTCCTGTGGGTGTGAACCCTATCAGAGAGCTTCTGGCATCACACATGACTGACAGGAGCCCTCCTCCACATGTAGATAATTCTGTGGTTTTCTGATAATTATCATAATTTTCCTCCTACCTATGGTGCTCGTTGGTGAACGTATAGAAATGCTTCTCCTGGTTACTAGTCAAATCTCGGATTCGTTTATATACAGGGGCACTCCGATTTCTCACTTCTTGCAGAACTGTTTGTAGTACAATTACATTCCTGATGGCAGGGTCCTCAAGAACATCAATCTTAAAGAAAAGAAGCAGAAAAAAGAAAAATTAATTTTCCTATGTTCATTCGTAAATTGTTTCTGTCTGTCGAACATAAAACTCCATGGGTGTAAAAAAAAAACAGTAACGATAGCCTGGCCGGGTGGCTCAGTTGGTTGGAGCCTCCAGGTACCCCAAAAGGTTGCGTTTCCGATTTCCGGTCAGGGAACATCCCTAAGGTTGCGGGTTCGATCCTAGTCATCCTGCTCGGGCGCGTGTGCGAGGCAACCGATGGATGTTTCTCTCTCACATCAGTGGTTCCCTTTCTCTCTCTCCCTTTCTTTCTCTAAAAATAAATGACACATATCCTCCGGTGAGGACTAACACACACACACACACACACTAAATGCACATTAAGGAGAGATCTTGCTATAGAAAGCCCTTAGACATGTCAAGCACAGGTAAACAGACTAATTCTAAAACTTCGCAGAACTAAGTCCATTAATGAAGAAATACGTCGGCCCACATATTTTCGTTAGTAGGCACTTACAAGCTGCCTGGGGGTCGCAGGCTGGAGGCCACAGAAGCCAAGTCCCCGGCCTCTAGACAGTTACAATCTAAGGCAGAAGAGACACCAGGAGTTAGAGAAATAACGTATCTAAAGTCCGTATGATCCCAAGAACTCAAAAA